AGCAGCAGAAGGTGGTGGTGGTGACCGTGGGGAGCGATTCTGCAGCAGCAGCAAGGCAGGTGACCGTGGGAGCGACTTGCAGCAGCAGCAGCAGCAGGTGGTGGTGACTGTGAGCGATTCTGCAGGTGCAGCAGCAGCAGCAGCAGCAACAACAACAACATAAGCAGCAGCAGCAGCAGGTGCTGGTGGTAGACCGGGGGAGCGATTCTGCAGATGCAGCAGCAGCAGGTGATGGTAGTGACTGTGGGGAGCGATCTTGCGCAGCCGCAGCAGAGGTGGTAGTGGTCTCGGGGAGCTGATCCAGAGGCGCAGCAGCAGCAACAACAACAACAGCAGCGAAGCAGCAGGTGGCGTGGCGGCGGCCTGTGGGGAGCGATTCTGCGTGCAGCAGCAGGTGGTGGGTGACTGTGGGGGAGGTATCTGCAGGCAGCAGCAGGGTGGTGACTGGGTAAGCGATTCTGCATGCAGCCGCAGAGTGGTGGTGACGTAAGGATGTTTTGAGGTGCAGCAGCAACAGCAACAACAGCAGCAGCAGCAGGTGATGGTGGTGGTGACTGTGGGGAGCGATTCTGCAGGTGCAATGGCGGCAGGAGGTGATGGTGGACTGCTGGGGAGGTGATCTTGCAGCAGCAGCAGGTGGTGGTGGTGAACTGTGGGAGAGTGACGGTGCAGCAGCAGGAGGTGGTGGTGGTGACTGGGGGAGCTGATCTGCAGAGACGAAGCGAGAGGTGATGTAGGTGACCGTGGGGAGCGATTCCTGGCGCAGCAGCAGCAGGCAGACCGGGGAGCGATTCTGCAGGTGCAGCAGCAGCAGCGCAACAACAACCAGCAGCAGCAAGCTGGCAGCAGCAGCAGCAGGTGGCGGTGGCGGCGGCCTGTGGAGAGCGCTGATCTGGTATGCGCAGCAGCAGGTGGTTGTGGTGGTTCGTGGGGAGCGATCTGTAGCTGCAGCATTAGCAACAGGTGGTGGTGGCTGACTGTGGGCTGGATGCTGGTGCAGCAGCAGCAACAGCAGCAGCAGGTGGTGGTGGTGACTGTGGGGAGCTGACGGTGGCAGCAGCAGGTGGTGGTGGGACTGTGGGGAGCGATTCTGTGCCGCAGCATTGAAGCAACAGGTGGTGGTGGCTGGACTGTGGGGAGCTGATGCTGCAGCAAGCAGCAGCAGCAGGTGGTGGTAGGGATCAGGGGGAGCGATCTGCAGGCAGCAGCAGCAGGTGGTGACGGTGACTGCGGGGAGCGATCTCTGCAGGCGCAGCAGCAGGTGGTGGCAGTGTGGATCAGGGGGAGCGACGCAGGGCACCAGCAGCGCCCGCCACGGGCGCGGCAACAGGTGGTGGTAGTGACCGTGGGGGAGCGATCTGCAGCAGCAGCAGGTGGTAGTGTGAGCGATTCTGTGGCGCAGCACAGGTGGTGGTGACCGTGATGGAGCGATTCTGCAGGTGCAGCAACAACAACAACAACAAAAAGAGCAGCAGCAGGTGGTAGTGGACTGGGGGCAAGCGATTCAGGCAGCAGCAGCAACATCAGGTGGTGGTGGTGACTGTGAGGAGCCAGTGGCAGGAGCAGCCGCAGGTGGTGGCATGGTCGGGAGCGATCTGCAGCAAGCAGCAGGTGAGGTGACAGGGGGAGGTGATCCTGTAGGTGAGCAGCAACAGCAGGTGGTGTGATTGTGGGGGAGAGATCTCCAGAGGCAGCAGCAACAGCAAGATGGTGGTGGTGACTGCTGGGGAGCTGATCTTGCAGGTGCAGCAGCAGCAGCAGGTGGTGGTGACTGCTGGGAGGTGATTCTGCAGGTGCAGGCAGCAGCAGGTGGTGGTGGTGGACTGTGGGAGGGTGATTCTGCAGTGCAGCAGCAGGTGGTGGTGACTGTGGGAAGCGATTCTGCAGTGCAGCTGCAGAGTGGTGGTGACTGTGGGGGAGCGATTCTCAGGTGCAGCAGCAACAACAGCAGCAGCAACATGGCGATGGTGACTGTGGGGAGGTGATTCTGCAGGCAGCAGCAGCAGGTGGTGATGGTGATCTGGGGGAGCGATCTGCAGGCATGCAGCAACAGCAGGTGGTGGTGGACTGTGGGGAGGTGATTCTGTGCGCAGCAGCAGGGAGGTGGTGGTGACTGTGGGGGAGTCGATTCTGTAGGTGCAGCAGGTGGTGGTGGGACTGTGGGGAAGGATTCTGCAAGAAGCAACAGCAGGTGGTGGTGGTGGACTGTGTGATGCATCTCTGTATGCAGCAGCAGGATGGTGGTGACTGTGGGGAGCGATTTGCAGCAGCAGCAGCAGGTGGTGATGGTGACTGGTGAGGAGGGGGATTCTCAGGCACAGGCAGCAGCAGTGGCATTGGTGACAGGTGGGAGGTGATTCTGCAGGCAGCAGCAGCAGCAGGTGGTGGTGGTGAGTGGGGAGCATTCTGCAGCAGCAGCAACAGCAGGTGGTGGTGGTGATTATGGGAGGTGATCTGTAGGCAGGACAAAAGGTGGGTGGTGGTGACTGTGGGGGAGTTGGCTCCTGCAGGCAGCAGGTGGTGAAGGACTGTGGGGGAGCGATTCTCAGGAGCAGCAGTAGCAGGAGCAGCAGGTAGTGGTGGTGACTGTGGGTGAGCGATTCTGCAGGCAGCAGCAGCAGCAGCAGCAACAACAACAACAAGAGGAGCAGCAGGTGGTAGTGTACTGGGGGAGCGATCTGTAACAGCAGCAGCAGGTGGTGATGGTGAACTGTGGGGAGTGATTCTGCATGCAGCAGCAACAGCAGGTGGTGGTGGTGATTGGGGAGCTGATGTTGCAGGCAGCAGCAGCAGGCGGCAGGTGGTGACTGTGGTGGGAGCGATCTGCAGGCAGCAGCCGAAAGCAAACAACACAAGCAGCAGCAGCGGTGGTGATAGTGACTGTGGGGAGTGATTCCGAGATGCAGCAGCAGCAGGTGATGGTAGTGGGATCAGGGGGAGCGATTCTGTAGTGCAGCAGGTGGTGGTGGTGGCCTGTGGGGAGCGATCTTGCAGCTGCAGCATCAGCAACAGGTGGTGGTGGTTGCTTGTGGTGGAGCGATTCTGCAGGCAGCAGAGCCGCAGCAGAAGGTGCTGGTAGTGGGCTGTGGGGAGCGATCTGTATTTGCAATGGCAGCAGGTGTGATGGTGACTGTGGGGAGGTGATTTGCAGGCACAGCCGCAGCTGCAGTGGTGGTAGTGACTGGGGGAGGTGATTCTGCAGTGCAGCAGCAACAGCAGGACTGGTGGTGACTGGGGAGCGATTCTAGGTGCAGCAGCAGCAGCAACAAGAACAACAACAACAACAACAACAAGAACATGAGCAGCAGCACAGCAGCAGCAGGTGATGGTAGAGACTGTGGGGAGCGATCTCAGAGGTGCAGCAGCAGCAAACACAACAACAACAACAGCAGCAGCAGCAACAACAGCAGCAGCAGCAGCAGCAGCAGCACGGCAGGCGGCGGCCTGTGGGGAGCGATCTTGTGCAAGCAGCAGGTGGTGGTGACTGGGGAGGTAATTCTATGTGCAGCAGCAGGGTGGGTGACTGTGGAAAGTTGATGCTCAGGGGCAGCAGCAGCAACAGCAACAATAGCAGCAGCAGCAGCAGGTGATGGTAGTGACTGTGGGGGAGTGATTCTGCAATGGCGGAGGTGGTGATGGTCACTGTTGGGAGGTGATTCTGCAGCAGCAGCAGCAGGTGGTGGTGACTGTGGTGAGCGATTCTGTAGAGAAGGCAGCAGCAGCAACAACAACAACAACAACAACAACAACAAAATAAGGCAGCAGCAGCAGGTGGTGGTAGCAGACGTGGGGAGCGATCCTGCAGATGCAGCAGCAGCAGGTGATGGTAGTGACTGTGGGGAGTGACTGTGGCAGCAGCGCAGCAGCAGGTGGTAGTGACTTGGGGGAGCGATTCTGAGGCAGCAGCAGCAGCAAACAATACAACAGCAGCAGCAGCAACAACAACAGCAGCAGCAGGTGGCAGGCGGCGGGGCTGTGGGGAGTGATCAGTGCAGCAGGTGGTGGTGGTGACTGTGGGGAGGCATTCTGGCAGCAGGGTGGTGGGACTGGGGTGGAAGCGATCTGCAGTGCAGCTGCAGAGTGGTGGTGGACTGTGGAGCTGATGCCTTGTGCAGCCAACAACAACAACAGCAGCAGCAGCAGCAGCAGGTGATGGTGGTGACCGTGGGGAGTGATTCTGCAGTGCAATGGCGGCAGGTGGTGATGGTGACTGTTGAGGAGGTGATCCTGGCGCAGCAGCAGAGATGGTGGACTGTGGGGGAGCGATCTGCGGTGCAGCAGCAACAGCAGGTGGTGGTGGTGACTGCGGGCGAGGTGATTCTGTGGCGAGCAGCAGGTGGTGGTGGTGACCCTGGCGGGAGCGATCTGCAGGTGCAGCAGGTGGTGGTGGTGACCGGGGAGCGATTCTGCAGGAGCAGCAGCAGCAGCAGCAGTGCGGTGGTGACTGTGGGGGAGATTCGTAGGCAACAGCATGTGATCGGAGCGATTCTGCAGGAGTGCAGCAGGTGGTGATGGTGACTGGTGAGGAGGTGATCTGCAGGCGCAGTGGCAGCAGCAGGGCATTGGCGGACTGTGGGGGAGGTGATCCTGCAGCAGCAGCAACAGCAGGTGGTGGTGGTGGCCGTGGGGCAGCGATCTCTGGCAGCAGCGCAACAAGCGCAGCCAAGCGCAGCAGCAGTAGCGCCGGTGCAGGCGGCGGTCTGGGGAGCTTATTCTGTAGCTGCAGCATCAGCAGCAGGTGCTGGTGGTGACTGTTGGGGAGCGATCTCCGTGCGCAGCAGCAGGTGATGCAGGCGGCAGGTGGACTGGCGGGGAGCGATTCTGCAGGCGCAGGCGGCAGGTGGTGATGCTGGTCTGTTGGGGAGCGATCTTGCAGCAGCAGCAGCAGGCGGTGATGGTGATCAGGGGAGCGATTCTGCAGAAACAGCAGCAGCAGCAGGTGATGGTAGGGGATCGGGGGAAGCGATTCTGCAGCAGCAGCAGCAGCAGCAGGTGGTGGTATGGACCGGAGGAGCGATCTGCAGGTGCAACAGCAGAACAACAGCAGCAGCAGCAGCAGCAGGGGGCGCAGCAACGAACCGCAGCAGCAGCAGCAGCAGCAGCAGCAGCGCAGCTGGAGCAGGCGGGCGGCCTGTGGGGAGCTGATCTCTCAGCAGCATCAGCAACAGGTGGTGGTGGCTGACGGGGATGATCTCAGGCAGCAGCAGCAGCGGCAAGTGGTGTGGGTTGTGGGAGCGATTCTGCAGGCAGCAGCAGCAGCAGGTGGTGATGGTGAACTGTTGGGGAGTTGACCGCAACCGCAGCAGCAGGTGGTGGTGGTGATTGGGGAGCGATCTTGGTGCAGCAGCAACAGCAGGTGGTGGTGGTGGGATTGGGGGTTGATTCTGGCGCAGCACCAGCTGCAGCAGGTGGTGGTAGTGTACTGTGGGGAGCGATTCTGCAGGTGCAGCAGCAGGTGGTGGTGGTGATCAGAGCGATTCTGCATGCAGCAGCAGCAACAGCAGGTGGTGGTGGTGGATTGGGGTCGCTGATCTCTGTAGGCGCAGCGCAACAGCCGCAGCAGCAGGTGGTGGTAGTACCGTGGGGAGCGATTCTGCGCAGCAGCAGCAGGCGTGGTGGTGACTGTGGGCGATCTGCAGCAGCAGCAAACAGCAGGTGTGTGGTGATTGGGGAGTTTATTCTTGCGGCAGCAGCAGCAGCATGCAGGTGGGACTGTGGTGAGCGATCCTGATGCAGCAGCAGCAGATGGTAGTGACTGGGGAGCGATCTGCAGATGCAGCAGCAGCAGGTGATGGTAGGGGATCGGGGAGCGATTCTGTAGGTGAAGCAACAGCAGCAGGTGGTGGTAGGTGACTTTGGGGAGCTGATCTTTGTGCAGCAGCAGCAGCAACAACAGCAGCGAGCAGGCAGCAGTATGCTGGCCTGTGGGAGAGCTGATCCTGTAGGTGCAGAAGCAGGTGGTGGTGGTGGCCTGTGGGGAGTGATTCTGCAGCTGCAGCATCAGCAACAGGTGGTGGTGGCTGACGTGGGGAGCGATTGAAGGCACAGCCGCAGCACCAGGTCGTGATGGGACTGTGGGGAGGTGATTTTAGTGTGCAGGCAGCAGGTGGTAGTGACTGTGGGTGAGCGATTCTGTATTTGCAATGGCAGCAGGTGATGGTGACTGGGGAGGTGACTGAAGGCAGCCGCAGCACCAGGTCGTGATGGGTGGGGAGGTGATTTTGCATGCAGCAGTAGGTGGTGGTAGTGACTGGGGTGAGTTGATCTGTATTTGCAATGGCAGCAGGTGTGATGGTGACTGTGGGGGAGGTGATCTTGAAGGGACAGCCGCAGCACCAGGTCGTGATGGACTGTGGGGAGGTGATTTGCACAGCAGTAGGTGGAGGACGGTGAGCGATCTGACGGCAATGGCAGCAGGAGATGGTGACTGGGGAGGTGATTGCCGCGGCACGCAGCACCAGGTCGATGGACTTGGGGAGGTGACTTGCATTGCACGGCAGCAGGTGGTGATGGTGGACTGGGGGAGCGATTCTGCAGCAGCAGCAGCAACAGTAGGTGGTGGTGGGACCGTGGTGAGCGATTTGCAGGTGTAGCAGCGCACCACCAGCAGCAACAACAACAACAACAACATAAGCAGCAGCAGCAGCAGGTGGTGGTAGTGATCAGGGGCAGCGATCTTGCAGCAGCAGCAGCAGGTGGTGATGGGACTGTGGGGGAGGTGATTCCGATGCGCAGCAACAAGGCAGGTGGTGGTGGGGTCGGGGGAGCGATCTGCAGGCAGGAGCAACAGCAGGTGGTGGTGGACTGTGGGGAGGTGACTGGCAGTGCAGCAGCGGCAGGTGACTGTGGGGCAGTGACGGCATGTGCAGCCCAGAGTGGTGGTGGACTTGGGGAGTTGATGCCCCAGGTGCAGCAGCAACAGCAACAACAGCAGCAGGGGTGGTAGGTGACTGTGGGGAGCTGGGATTCTGCAGGTGCAGTGGGCAGGTGGTGATGGTGACTGTGGGGAGGTGACTGTAGGCAGCAGGAGCAGGTGGTGATGGTGACTGGGGAGCGATCTGTAAGTGTAGTGGCAGCAGGTGGTGACAGGGACAGAGGGGAGTATCTCTGTAGGTGCAGTGGCAACAGGTTGTGGTGATGGTGGGAGGTGATTCTGCAGGCGCAGTGGTTGCAGGGTGATGGTGGGAGTGTGGGGAGTCGATCTGTAAGTGCAGAAGCAGCAGGTCAGGTGGTGGGAGGGGGAGGTGATTCTGCAGGTGCAGCAACAGCAGCAGGGGGTGGTGGGGCTGTGGGGAAGCGATTCTGTAGGCAGCAGAGCAGCAGCAGGTGGTGGCGGTGGTGACTGTGGGGAGCTGAAGCTGCAGGCAGCAGCAGCAGGTGGTGATGGTGACTTGGGGAGGTGATCTTTGTGCAGCAGCAGGGACTGTGGGTGAGGTGATCTTGAGCAGCAGGGCAGGCAGATGGTGACTGGGGAGTGATTCTTCAGGCAGCAGCAGCCAGCAAACAGCAGCAGCAGCAGGTGGTGGTAGTGTGACTGGGGAGCAGATTCTGTAGGCAACAGGCAGCAGGTGGTGGTGGGGGAGTGTGGGGAGCTGATCTGTGCAGCAGCAACAGCAGGTGGTGGTGGTGGGATTATGGGGAGGTGATCCTGCAGGTGCAGGAGCAGAATGTGGTGGTGGTGACTGTGGGGAGTGGTTCTGTAGGTGCAGCAGGTGGTGAAGGACTGTGGGGAGCGATTCTGGGGAGCAGTAGGGAGCAGCAGGTGGTGGTGGTGACTGTGGGGAGTGACTGCAGGACAGCAGCAGCAGGTGTGATGGAACTGGGGGAGCGATCTAGGCGCAGCAGCAGTAGCAGCAGCAACAACAACAACAACAACAAACAAGAGCAGCAGCAGGTGGTAGTGTACTGTGGGGAGCATTCTGTAGGCATGGAAGCAGCAGCAGTGGTGATGTGAACTGGGGGAGCTGATCTGCAGGCGCAGCAGCAAACAGCAAGTGGTGGTGGTGACGGGGGGAGCGATTCAGGCGCAGCAGCAGCAGCAGCAGGTGGTGGTGACTGTGGTGAGCGATCTGCAGGCAGCAGCAGCAGGTGATGGTAGTGACTGGGGAGCGATTCTGTGCAGCAGCAGCAGGTGTGGTGGTGATTTGGGGAGCGATTCTGGTAAAGCAGCAGCAGCAGCAGCGGTGGTGGTGGCGGCCCCGTGGGGAGCGATCAGGCAGAAGCAGGTGGTGGTGGCTCGGGGAGCGATTCTCAGTAGGCAGCATCAGCAACAGGTGGTGGTGGGCGACTGTGGTGAGCGATTCTGTAGGCAGCAGGAGCAGCAGCAGCAGGTGCGGTAGTGGGCTGTGGGGAGGCGATCCTGTATTTGCAATGGCAGCAAGTGGTGATGGTGACTGTGGGGAGGTGGATCTTGTAGGCACAGCCAGCCGCAGCAGCAGGTGGTGGTGGACTGTGGGGAGGTGATCTTTGAAGCAGCAGCAGCAGGTGGTGGTAGGGACTGTGGGTGAGATGATTCTGTATTTGCAATGGCAGCAGGTGGTGATGCGGACTGTGGGGAGGTGATTTGCAGGCGGCAGGCTGCAGGTGGTGGTAATGTGGGGGAGGTGATTCTGTGCAGCAGCAGCAGCAGGATGGTGGTGGTGACTGTGGGAGCGATTCTGGTGCAGCAGCAGCAGCAACAACAACAACAACAACAACAACAACAACATAAGCAGCAGTGCAGCAGCAGCAGCAGCAGGTGGTAGCAGATCAGGGGAGCGATTCTGTAGATGCAGCAGGTGATGGTAGTGACTGTGGCGGAGCGATCTCAGAGGCGCAGCAGCAGCAACAACAACAACAACAACAGCAGCAGCAGCAGCAAAACTGAAGCAGCAGCAGCACGTGGCAGGCGGCGGCCTGTGGGGAGCGATCTCTCAGGCAGCAGCAGGTGGTGGTGACCGGGGAGGTAACGTGGCGCGCAGCGGTGGTGACTGTGGGAAGCGATTCTGCAGGCAGCAGAGCGGTGGTGACCGTGGGGAAAGCGATGCAGCAGCAGCAACAGCAACAAGCAGCAGCAGCAGCAGGCAGATGGTGGTAGTACGTGAATGACTGCATGTGCAATGGCGGCAGGTGATGGTGACTGTTGAGAGGTGATTCTGCAGGTGCAGCAGCAGCAGGTGGTGACAGGACCGTGGGGAGCGATTCTGTAGGCAGCAGCAGCAACAACAGCAAGAAGCAGCAGCAGCAGAAGCGGGCAGGCGGCCTGTGGGGAGCGATCTGCAGCTGCACCATCAGCAACAGGTGGGTGGTTGACTGGGGGAGATGATCTCAGCAAGGAAGCAAGGCGCGGTGGTAGTGGGTCAGGGGAGCGATTCTGCAGCAGCAGCAGCAGCAGCAGGTGGTGGTGACTGTGGGGAGCGATTCTGCAATGCAGCAGCAACAGCAGGTGGTGGTGGTGGTGATTGGGGGAGCGATCCAGCAGCAAGGCAGCAGCAGCAGCAGGTGGTGGTATCAGGGGAGCTGATCTGTAGGCGCAGCAGCAGCAGCAGCAACAACGAAGAGCAGCAGCAGCAAACAAAAGCCGAAGCAGGTGGTGGTGAGTGCACTGTGGGGGAGTGATTCTGCAGCAGCAGCAGCCAGGTGGTGGTGACTGTGGGGAGGCGATTCTGCATGGCAGCAACAGCAGGTGGTGGTGGTGATTGGGGGAGTTATTCTGCAGCAGCAGCAACAGCAGGTGGTGGATTGGGGGAGTTATCTGGTGCAGCAGCAGCAGCAACAACAACAAACAGCAGCAACAACAGCAGCAGCAAGCAGCAGCAGGTAGTGGACTGTGGGTGAGCGATCTCTGGGTGCAGCAGCAACAACAACAAGAGCAGCAGCAACAAAAAGCAGCAGCAGGTGGTGGTGTACCGGGGAGCGACTGCAGGCAGCAGCAGCAGGTGGTGGTGATCTGAGAGCGATTCCTTGCAGCAGCAGCAACAGCAGGTGGTGGTGGTGGACTGGGGAGGGAGTTTCTTGCGTGCAGCAAACAGCAGGTGGTGGTGGCGATTGGGGGAGTTTATTCTGCAGCAGCAGCAGCAGGCTGGTGACTGTGGTGAGCGATCTGCAGATGCAGCAGCAGCAGGTGATGGTGACTGTGGGGGAGTTGACTTGCAGATGAAGCAGAGCAGGTGATGGTAGTGATCTGGGGAGTGATTCTGTAGGCAGCAACAGAAAAGCAACAACAAGGGCAGCAGCAGCAGGTGGTGGTAGATCAGGGGAGCTGATTCTTGCAGAAAGCAGCAGCAGGTGATGGTAGTGGGGGAGCTGATTCAGGTGCAGCAACGAAAGCAACAACAACACAGGCTGAGCAGCAGCAGGTGGTGGTGACTGTGGGGAGCGATCTGGCGCAGCAGCAACAGCAGGTGGTGGTGGTGATTGGGGAGGAGTTTATCTCGTATGCGCAGCAGCAAACAGCAGGTGGGGTGGTGAGGGGGAGCCATTCTGCAGGCAGCAGCAGGTGGTGGTGATCAGCAGAGCGATTCTGCAGACAGCAGCAGCAGGTGATGGTAGGGACAGGGGGAGCGATTCTGCAGATGCAGCAGCAGCAGGTGGTGGTGACTGTGGGGAGCGATTGCAGCAGCAGCAGCAGGTGGTGGTAGTGGACTGGGGAGCGATTTGCGCAGCAGCAGCAGCAACAACAACAGCAGCAGCAGCAGCGCAGCAGCAGGTGGCGGCGGCGGCGGCCCGTGGGAGAGTTGATTCCTGCAGGCAGAAGCAGCTGGTGGTGCGGCCTGTGGGGAGCGATCTGGGAAGCCGCAGCATCAGCACTGGTGTGGCGACTGTGGGGAGCGATTTGAAGGTACAGCCGCACACACAACAACACCACACACAACAAAACACAACAAAGCACCAGATCGTGAAGGGACAGGGGGAGGTGATTTGAAGGCAACAACGCAGCACCAGGTCGTGATGGGACAGGGGAGGTGATTTTCGTGCAGCAGCAGTAGGTGGTGGTACTACACAACAACCAAACAAAAACACCCACAACAGACTGTGGGGAGATGATTCTAGACTGCAACAGCAGCAAGGTGATGGGACCGTGAAGTGATCCTGCAAGCAGCAACAACAACAAAATGTACAACAGCAGCAGGTGGTAGTAAAAATGTGAGCGATTCTGCATGCAGCAGCAGCAACACAGCAGGTGGTGGTGATCAGGTGTGAGCGATTCTGCAGTGCAGCACTGCAACTACTCAGCAAAACAACAACAACAAAATGACAAGCAGCAGCAGCAGCAGGTGGTGAGTGGGACAGGGGGCAAAGATTCTGAGGCAGCAGCAGCAGGTGGTGATGGACTGTGGGGAGGTGATTCTGCAGCAGCAGCAACAGCAGGTGGTGGTGGTGGCTAGAGAAAGGATCTCAGGCAGGACAACAGCAGGTGGATCACGAGAGGTGATCTTGCAGCAGCAGGTGGTAGGATCAGGGGTAGCGATCTGCAGGCGCAGCCCAGAGCGGTGGCAGACTGTGGGAAGCGATGACCAACAAAAGCAGCAACAGCAACAACAGCAGCAGCCGTGTAGTGACGGGGAGCGGTTCTCAGGTGCAGTGGCGCAGGAGGTGATGGTGACTGTGGGAGGTGACTCATGCGTGCAGCAATGCAGGAGGAACTGGGGAATTGATGTCAGGCAGCAGCAGCAGCAGGTAGTGGCTCAGGGGGAGGATTCTGTAGGCAGTGGCGGCAGGTGGTGATGGCGACGGGGAGATTCAGGCAGCAGCACAGGTGGTATGGCAGGAACGATTCTGCAAGTGTAGGCAGCAGGTGGTGAAGGTGACAGGGGAGGTGATTCTCAGGTGCAGTGGCAACAGGTTGTGGGTGATGGTGACTGTGGGGGAGACCCAGGCAGGTTGCAGGGTTGATGCAGGAGAGGGGGAGCGATCTCATGCAAGTGAAGCAGCAGGTGGTGTGGTGGGCCGTGGGTTAAGCTGATCTGCAGGCAAGCGAGCAGCAGCAGGTGGTGGCGATGGTGACTGTGGTGAGAAGCTGTTGCAGCAGCAGCACAGGTGACAGGACTGTGGGGAGGGATCTTGCATGCAGCAGCAGTAGGTGGTGGTAGGACTGTGGGTGAGGTGATCCGACTTGGTGCAGTGGCAGCAGGTGGTGATGGTGACTGTGGGGAGTGATTCTAGTGCAGCAGCAGCCGCAGCAGCAACAACAGCAGCAGGTGGTAGTGACTGTGGGGAGTTACTCCTGCAGGTGCAGTGGGCAGCAGGTGGTGATGGTGACTATGGGGGAAGTGGGATTCTGTGCGTGCAGCAGCATCAGGTGCATGGTGACAACACGTAACTGAAGCACACTGA